TTCAACTCGGCACCCAAGCAAGCTTCGGCGCCAAAATTTTGCAAGTGGGTTTCCCGGCCAAGTGCCACCCCGGGACCGCGGTGCCAATCCTCAAGCACGACCCCGGTGTGTGTATGTGTATGTGGGTGTGTATGTATGGGTGTATGTGTGTATATGTACGTGTGTGTGTGTGTGTGTTTGTGTGTGTGTGTGCATGCGTCTTTCCGGGTATTTCAACTTGGCACCCAAGCAAACTCCGGCGCCAAAATTTTGCGAGTAGGTCCCCCGGCCGCGTAAGAGCTTCTCAGAGTTTTAGCAGGAAAATCGCTAGCTCGAGACCAAGAAAGCTGGGAGGCTGAGATTTTCAGGAAATGTTCCCAACTCATCTACAACTTAAATTTATCAAATTCAGCCCCCCCCCCCTTCCCCCCCTTACGCGTATTTACCATGTACGGCCCCGTTTCTGGTTGGAATTTGGGTAACTGGGAAAGCTGGGGGCTGGGGATTTCAAGGGCATATTCCCTGTCCAAGTATAGCGTAAATAATTAACTTCTCGAAATTCGAGGCCCAGTATGTACAAGAGGTTTCTAGCTAGCGGAATTTGAGTGATCTTATTACAGCACGAAACATTGCAAAAACGCATGATCGTACGGGCCCGCCCAATGCGCGTCGCCAGTGATTTTCTTCCCACCTCAAAATACCTTTCTGTTATTTCTATTTCAAAATACCTCCCTATTTCGTATGATTAATTTCTGTCACATGCCTTACATTGAAGATTTATGGAAAGTTTTATTTCAGATCGATCATCTGCTCGGTCGTTCGGAGATGTTTGCGTTCCAAAAAGGCTCGGACAGTGGATCAGTTCACGGACTTACCGCACAGCAAATGTCAGCACTCTCGCAGTTATCACGCTTACCGAATTTCAATGATGTGGCGAAGAAAGTTGCTTCCAGCGAGCAGTTCGGGGCTTGGGTACTTCTAGATAATCCTGAATTGGACGTCCCGGTCATCTGGGCCGGTGATAACAAATTAAGTAAGTTTTACAGG